CTTATTTTTTGATAGCATTGCATATATCATAATTGCTCAGTCATAATTTTAAACTGAGGCTTTCAAATGTAGCTCTGGAAGTATTGCTTTAAGACTGAAAGTATTGGACATTTTTTATTTTTCCTCACACGTGGTCTTATTTGTACTTCCTCCTTAAGTCTCCCTGGGGGATGCACAAATGGTACAGACCTGGAAGTGATGGTTTACTAGTTGGAGATGTCATAATTATGAACTATTGTCTTGTTGTTTGGATAATTAACTGTATAAAGAGTCTCCTCCAGTGTTTGGTCTCAAGCTTGTGATTCGTATGAGAAGTGGAGGGAGTGAGATAGGGAACAGAAAATACTTTGCTTGTGTTTAGAAAGTTAAAAACTTGACCTTGGTCACTGAAATGAGCACTCTGTAAAATTATGTGGAATTTTTGTGTTTATTAATAAGACTGTCTAAATTGGAATAGTTTCCTAGAGTAAAATTGATTTTTGTTTTAAGTGGTCCTGGAGGGGAAAGTGGTTATGTATGAACCAAAGGCTGTGGTGTTTAGAGTACTATTTGAAGAAAGAAAAACAAAAAAAAGATGTTGCATATTGCAGTGGTGGAATGAAAAGCTGTTGCTTTGTTTCCCTTGTTTGGAGGTAAGTTACTGTCCTCACAGGTGTGCATCCTAAGACAGTGTTTCCTAACTTAACAGCCTTGTATCACTATCAAGGCCCTTAAATTTATAAGCTTAAATTTCTACCTGGTTCCAAGAATGAAAAAGTAACTTTTATTCACCTGATATAATTGTCCTCTCAGAGGCTTTCTGCTGAATATGCTCACTTTTTCTAGTTCTTTCTCAACGCTGGCTACCTGGTTCAACTTGGCTGTTTTGGCTCAGACTCCAAGCTGCCTGATAGATTGTCTTTTTACCGAATTATTCTGCTTGGCCTCATACTAACTTTGGCAAGAGTTCAAATATGGCTTGTTCTGTCTTCTGTGGTTAGCTTGTTCTCTCCCTGCAGCCTGCTTCTCTCCTACTATCCCAGGAAAACTGCCTCTGAAATGCACAAACTCAGCTCCACTGCACTACCTCTCTACTGACTGACCTCTGACTGTCCTCATCTCAGCTGCCCTGACCTGCTCTCTCTTAGGTCGCCACCTCTTTCTTGTGCTATTCTCAGCAGAGTTCTCTGTTCTGTCAAATCTTTCTCTGATTAGTCACTTTGTCCGTTAGTTAGATGTCATTGTTTGAGATTAAAGGTGTGTACTCTAAGGGCTTGTCTGTGTTCTAGCTGAATCACACAGACCTAGAAGGTCTTTGGATGTGATCGGACCAGCCATATTGCTGGATTTAAATCTCTCCACACAAACTAGGAGTGGTGGCTCATACCTTTAATCCCAGCACTCAGGGAGGCAGAGGCAGGCAAATCTCTGTGAGTTTGAGGATAGCCCGGTCTACAAAGTTAGTCCGGGACAGCCAAGGCTACATAGAGAAACCCTGTCTTGAAACTCTCCCCATTCCTACCACCAAAAAAAAAAAAATCCTCTACACAAAAACTCTTCTGTACTGAAGGTGAAGCTGTGGCTCTGCTGTGGGGCTAGAAGTCTGGTGGTTCCTGGGCTGTGTCATACTCTTAGTTTGCTTTCTACCTAGGACCCTTGGTCTTGTCACTCTGCAGTCTCCTCTCATGGGGTAAGGTTGTAAAGGAGAAGAAGTGAAACATAGGTGTGGGCTAGGGAGGGGATGTGCGCAAGCCAAGGTCCTTCCGCACTCCTGGGTTTGTTCTTGTCACCTCACCCCAGCACAGGAATGCGGCGGTTCCTGGTTCTTTCCTTATTCCTTATACAGAAAGGAACTTCACTACCTGTTTGTTTCCTATGTCTTTGGAGTTTTGTATCCAGTGGAGAATTTGTTTTTCACCAGTTCACCTGCCATCCTAACTGGTGGCACTATTTAGATTGAAGCTTCAGAAGCACAGAGTTATACAAGGAAAACATCAAGGTCAATTCTTGGTAAAAACTGCTGCCCTCATTTCTTACATGCTCTCCTGTCTTCTCCGCAGTAAGCTTCTGTATCGGCAATGTTGTGCTTGAGCTTTCTTAGTAGCTCACCCTAACACATTCCGCTTCCCCAAAAGGGGATTATGTCCACAAGTTCACTTTTTAGTAGTCATACGTGCGCAGAGTGCCCGAGGCTCATAGAGAGAATTTCCCTGCCATCCTGTTCCGTCTATCCAGTCCTGCGTAGTTTGTCATTGTTCTCCCCGGTATCGGGTTGAGAAGATTGTGTGTAGAAAGAAGCTGGTGTGGTGGCTGGTCCGAGGGCTGTGGGGGCAGAGTGTAGGTAGTCCACAGCTTACCTCCCTGTACTCTTCTCATTAGTTCGTTTATTTACCCAAGCTGTCAAGTGGCCAGTTCTGCCATCCCCTTGCTGAATCATCTGAGGCTCACATTTCTATTTAAGAAGCCACCAGTAAGAGTCCATAGTCATAGCATAATTCTGCATTATGCATGCAGCTCAATTCATATACAGGAGATGATTTTCTTAATCTAGAACTTGCTTGTATCAGGTGCTGTGGGGAAATTCTCAAGACTTCGCCTTTGGTTAAGCTAACATCAGACTGGCCTCGGGTAGAACAGAAAGGTAGTAAGTATTTCTCAACTTGTCCTTGACTTATTTCTTCCACAAAGCTGGGAACCAGAACTTAATGTGAGAGGTAGATATCTTTCCTATATATTCAGTGACATCAAACAATAGTGCTCGGATTTCGTGGCCTCTCTCTTCTGCTGACTGTCATGTGTGCATGTGAAGATGTAGACAGCATAACTGATGGCCTTTCACATTTGGTACTAATAAACACCAGAATTACATTCTCTACAGCTCATGGTGAACTTTAGAAACAGCTTCTAAATTTAGTCTGAATGATTTCCACAGTATTGGTACCTACCAAGACTTGGAGATAAAAAGAAACTATTTTCAGAATTTATGGGTTGATGGACTTGGTCCTCGTTTATTAAACAGGTTCGTACATAAGCCCTGTAGCACTGAGAGCTAAACTCTTCAGTCCCGGTTCACTTCATTTTGAGGCAGTCTTGCTAAGTTGCTCAGACTGGCCTAAGAGCATTCTGCTCCATCCTCCTGTGCAGCTAGGATTACAGGAGTATACCATCACGCCTAACAATCATGTTCTTAAAAGTTAGCATCAGACTTGTGATTTTAGTTGTTAAGCGAAGTGCTTTCCCATGGTGGTTTGGATAGAATGCTGTGGAAGTAGTATGACTAATTAACTATGCTAAGATATTTCTAACAAAATTTGCTGCCTTGTTCTTTTTAGAATGTTTGGTTTGGTGGTATTGATTATACAACATCATCACAGATTATTCTTTCCCTGTTTTAGATAACCACACTGATGGTCATAAAACCATCTCATTGTGGTTTTGATTTGCATTTTCTTATGGAAATTTATTGTTGCATGTTTTTCATTTGTTTATATTTGAAAGTTTATAGCTTTACCTTAAGCCGTATTTTGACAATGTAAAAAAAAAAAAAAAAAGTCTGCCATAAGAAAAGGAGTGAGGTGGAGAGGTGGCTCCATGGCTACGGTACTACTGCTCCTTCAGAGAACCTGAGTGGCTTGTAACCCCAGCTCAGGGATATCTTATACCTCTGGCCTCCTCAAGCCTCTGTTTCATGTGCACATACCTCTACCCACTGCATTTAAAATACAATCTTAAGGAATAAAAGGGAAAAGAAATGATTGAAACTGCTTAATAAGCTCCTTTGAGGTAACAGCTATTTGAGAGGATTGCACTGCTTTGTCTCTGCTTTTGCATGTTTTTGTGGTGCTTGGGATGAAAAAGTAGGACCTTGCACATGCTAAGCAGGCCCTCTGCTAGTGAGCCATATCGCCGGCGCTGTGCTGCTTAAAGTACTTAGAACGGTGTTGAATTTCCAGTTAGTAAAATCTCTCACACAGGTGTGGGCTGTAAGGAACATTATATGAGTTAGGATAAATTTGATTTTATTGTTAAAACTTGATAACATTGCAAGTTGGTAAAGACTGAGGCTGAATGTCTTAGCTGTTGGGCACTGAAGAGATATGTGTTCTTCCTCGTCACGTGGTTCTTTGTAAACAATCCTATTACCTTGGGTTTCTAGAAGGCGGATATTAAGGCTTAGTTCCCAAGAGTATTTAATGTACTCTATTCACATAAATAGAGCTGTCATCTGGAATCCCACACTTGTTTTCAGACCAGTTTGGGTCATTAGATGGCAGGTAGGATAAAATACCTTACATGAAATCCTTGAGAAATTTAAGGTCCTCTATATGTGTCAATTCTTTCCACAATGAAAAAGTCAGTATATGTTATTTGCTATGTTTGGCTCTTGAAACAAATGACGTTGGTATTAGTGGTATTTTGAGGTTCTGGGTGAAAGAAGGTGTCAGGGTAGAGAAATGAAAGGGCTATTTTCTGTTTCTCTGCTTACCCAGAGTCCAACAATAACAACACACACATAGCACTGCTTTAATTCTGAAGAGCTCTAAGAGTGCCATGCTTTTTATTGCTGTAAATATTCCGTCTTTGAAGCACATGCTCATTGTTCACGTTTTGCTAATGGAGTATTCTGTTAGACTGTCATGAAAACTAATCAGTAACTGAACTTTGTGTAATGATTACCACACAAAGTGTGCTTACCTTGGGGAATTAACATAAAACGTACCATTGATTTCATATGTCCTTTTGATTTTGTGGTATAGAATGGACACCACTGGCAACTCTGATTTGCAACATTTGATTTTTGTGTGTTAAGATGGCTGAGAAAGTAAATATTTGGAAAGATTATTTCTGTTAAAAATAAACATTGATACTGTTGCTTGTGACTTTAACACTTGGTGTCTTTCTATCCTTAATGTTTAATCACTGGTAACTATCAAATCATTACTCAGACTAGACTGTAGGACATGACTCTCTTAAGGAGTTTCCTACTCTGATACAGACTAATATGGCATCTTTTCTTCTAGAACGATTCTACTTGTGGTGATTATATACAGAGTAATGAGACTGGTTTAGTAGAACAAGCCCAAATACCTCAAGATGGACTCACCGTGGCCCCTCACAGAGCTCAGCCAGAAGGTATGCTGTATTTGTTGTGTTTATACTGATTGATAAGTTTTTTGTTGTTGATGTTGTCGTTGCTGCTGCTGGTGTTAGATGGTTGGTTGGTTGGTTGAGACAGTGTCTCACATAGCCCAAGCTGGCCCCAGACTCACTGTATAACTAAAGCAGATCCTCCTGCCTCCATCTCCCAAGTGCTGGGATTACAGGCCTGTGCCACTGGGCCTGGTTTATGAGGTGCTAGGGAGCCAGTTTAGGACTCATACATGCTAGGTGAGCACTCTGTCAGCCGAGCTATGTCACTGGCCCCAATACTTTAATTCTTAACTCTTTTATTTTTGGTCCTGTTGGTCCCTGGCATTTGTCGAAAAGCAGTGTTCCAAATGTTCTAACTTCTGTGTCCTATGCTCTACAGCCTTGGATTTTTCTCTCGTGTGTCAGGCCTGTGTCATGGACAGTTGTCTTTTTGGCTTGCTCTTAAACCTCTGTGTATTTCTGGAGGGCAAAAACTTTATCCTATTCCTAAGTACCAAGTGTAGCATTTCATCTACAGAATGTGGTCAGTGTCTACTATAGAAAAAAGGAAAATCAACAAAGTTGGCAATAAGAGGACGAAGAAATTGTTCACATGCATTTTCCCTGCAGCCGTGCAGTAAAGAGGAATGGCACCTGGGAATGAAAGCACATCACCGTCTATAAAGAAATGGGCTTGGATCTTCCCTTTTCTTTACATTTGGGGAGGCCATAAGCCCATACGAAGAGAAAATTAGGAACAAAATGTAGGCTGCTGTGCAGGTTGTAGATGAGCTAAGGATAAATGAGACACACTCCGTCACCACTCTGAATTTGTGTCAGTATGCCTCCTCTTGGTCATCTCCCTTTAACTTGTACTTGTCTTAAGAGGAAATCTATCTCTTTAATTATTAAAAAATGTTTATCTAATGTCTCTTTAAGCTGCTCCTGGCTCTCTGAACTTAAGTTTTAACCACAAACTTATTGAACATGAGTAACTTAATGGAGAACTTGATTTTTATAATTTTTTGTTTTTATAAAAAATTTTTTAGAAAAACTTTCAAAATGATAGCAGTTAATTTTAAGGTAGTACTGTGGTTTTTCATTTTGTTAAAAAAATGTATGTAATATATATTCTTTGGTTTTAGTTTATGAGGGTTAAGACAGGTAACTGCTGGTATAACGTGAAATCCAGGATGAACTGAAGCCATATCCCCAACTCAGTAACAACATCTCCCCCCCCCCCCCCCCCTTTTTGACTTTGCTAAACAGCAAGTACTAAGGGCTGGCTCAGTTGGTAATATGCTTTGTAAGCCTGGGGACTTGAAAATTGGATCTCTAGCACCGATGCGCAGAAAGTCAGGCGCAGCAGCACATGTGCTGGGAGACAAATGCAGAAGAGCATCCCTGGAGCTCACTGACCAGCAGCCAGCCTGGCTGATTCAGTGAGCTCCAGGTCTAGTAAAATACATATTTCAGAACAAGGTGGAGAATGATTAACGAAGGCAACCAAGATCGACCTCTATCGTGTGCATGTGCGTGCACGCGCATACACACCACACACACACACACACACATACACACACACACACACACACACACACACACACACACACACACACACACATGCCAGAGGAAGAGGAGGAGGGGTGATGACCCAAGCTGGCCTTGCATTCCTAGTCTTCTGCCTGTGCTGTTTTGGGATCACACCCAGGAGTTAGTGAATTCTAGACAAGCCCTCTGTGAATGAGGCTCCATCCACAGCCCCAAGCTGCTCTGTTTGTCAACACAGATTAGTTCAGTAATGTTTTATTTGCTAGTATCATCCTGTAAATGATTCAATTATAGCAGTTTTTGGATCTTCCCATCCCTCTTTGGTCATTGTAACATTACACAAGTCTAAAAGTTACTTTACCAACAGGCATTTGAGAATTTTTTTTCCTACCTTCACTCTTAACCAACAATTTCTGAAGCACAAAATAGAGACTGGCCTGCAGCGGTCATCAGACCGTACATTTTGCAAGCTGTCACAGAGTGCTGTTACTGCTCTCTGCATTTCCTGCTGCGTTTCTGTGTTTTGTGCTTCATGCTTCCTCCTTGCTCACCTTTCACGGTGTGTAACAATCTTATTTTCACTTCTCTGCTTCTGCTCCTTTTAACTTCTTCTAAGGCAAAATGAATCCTTCCTTCCTCTTCTTTGTCATCATTCCCCTGAGTTCATCAATGATTCTCTACCCAATACCCCTGCATTCCTTTTCCAACCTCTTCTGCCATCATTATCAAACTCCTTACTGCCCCCTCTGATGTCTGGCCTCAGCATTAAGTATTATTCCTGGCTTACACCCCAAGCAGCAGCCTAGTTGTCTTCAGGTGCTTGTGTTGTAGTTTGTAGAGTCAGCCTTTTCAGATGGCTTTCTTCTTCTTGCTTTTTTTTTTTCAATTTGATTTATTTTTCTATAATGACAGCTTACTAAAGGAGCTGTAAAGTGAGTGGCTGGGGGCTTGGATGTTTGCTTAGTTCATGAATAGATTGCTTATCTGCATAGATAGTGTGTTTTCATGTTCACTATCACCTGTGTCCACTGTAGGAAACTATACATTCAGTTCTTTCACAGTGAGACTTTATGCTTCCTTATAGTGATCAGCTTATAGTACATTTTGCCAGTTCCAAGAGTTACAAAATCCCCTTCTGGCCTCTGGGCACCAAACATGCATGTGGCACACATACATACCTACAGGCAAAACACTGAGACGTATACAAATAAGAAACAAGAAGCTATATAGCTTCTAAGTTATTCCTTTTATATATAAAGAATTTATGGGCTGTACATATTTAGTTGATCCCAAAGAGCTACATTGTGCTATTTTGAATAAGAATTTTCATTATTATCCTTTGGAAAACAATTTTCAGTAAACTATCCTGTGATATTTTGTTTTGGTGTTGACTGCATGGTTCGGGCATTCAGCATCTGGACATACAGGATACAATTAATTCACTCATGGTTGAGTGGCATGTTGCTGTGTATCAGTTTGTTTCATGTGTTTAAGGCCATTTGTAAATGTTAAGTAAGTAGCTTAATTACTGGCATTTGTCAAGTTATAGGATTAATTAGGTAATGGAATATGTGTGAAATCTCTTAACACAAGTCAGCATGTGTCTTTTTTTCTTTCAGCTGTACACATTGAGAAGATAATGTTGAAAGGAGTCCAGAGAAAAAGGGCTGACAAATATTGGGAGTACACTTTCAAAGTAAGCTCTTCTCACCCCCCAAAGATGCCTCATTTGCCACAGTACATGATCTTTAGAAGAACTACTACCAGGTTTACTAGTCTAAACACAAAAGATAGATAGGTGATAGATGGATAAACAGATGGTAGATGATAGGTAGGTAGGGGATCAATATAGATGATTGATAGATAGGATGATGGGTAGGTGATTGATAAGTAAATAAGTATAAAAACAAGAACCTTGAACTTAGGGAGACTATTTAAAGTAGAAGGTGTAAGATGTAACTTTAAAAAGTAGAAGTAAAGTTTTCACAAGTATTTGCAGACCTTCTCTGTCTGGCATTACTTCCCTGACTGCCCTGCTTTCCCTTGTTCCTTGTGGGGTTTTTCATTCCTGCTCTGTGGCTTTGTGGTCTTGTTGGCTGTGACTTGCAGGGCCCAGTCTGATTCTGTTACTTCCCACCTGCTTACCTCTGTGCTGCAGCTTCACTGTTGAGCCCTTCTGAGGTTCGATCACACATGCTCTGAAGCTACGTGGAGTGAAGCCAGGGTTCTCTGCAGCATCGCTGCTTACCACATCTCAGCTGTCCTTTCCTGAAGACTCTTCTAACCCTCTCCTTCCTCTGCTGATTGCTACCACTGCAGCTTCCACAGATCCTTGAGTAGATCATCTCATGGAAGCAGCGGGCATCCTCATCCTCTAGTGTCTGCCTTGCTCAGTACATTGTTGAATGAATTTCAAAACTCTTAACTTCTGCTTGGAAGGAGAAAAATCCTTGACTTTGTGGTTTCTGTTTCGAATTTCCATGTGTTTCACTTTTGGAATATTGGCTCTTTGCCCTTGAAACTCAGCATGCTGGCTTCTCCTTTAGTTGTTGGAGCTCACACAGCTTTTCTCTAAGACCTTTCTCCTTACCCTGACCAAAGCACAGCTAACACGTAACTCAAACACTCCATCTCTGGAGAGCCTTCTTAACACCCAGCTACTCTTGTTTCAGTCCCTGTCCCCATCTGTGAAGTAATGATGACTGTTAGAAATTCTTAACATTTTCGTTTGGTTTTATGCAACATGAGACTGGACTCAGACTTGAGTTATCATGTCTACTCCTATATCCACCTACCTACCAAGTAGATATTTATCATTGAAGAAATGTGTACCAATCAATAAAGATGGTTGCTGGATAGAATTTTGTACGCATTTAAAGTATCTAATTGACAAAGCAAGTCCAGATCAGCCAAGGCTACACAGAGAAACCCTGTCTCAAAAAACAAACAAAGGATTTTATTGTGATATGATTAATTGCCATATCTCAAGTAGTTATTGAAGTCGAGTGCAGTAGAAACCGAAGTCCACGGAGCTGTGAGAGCGCAGGTGGCAGGCTGAGTTTCACAGCAGTGTACGGTGTTAGTCCTGTGTTTAGTTGGAGCACACTTAACTCATTTTCACCATCTGAATATGTAGGTAGTCATACTTGCCCAAGCATCTTGCTAGGACTTAAAACATCTGGGATCAAGGTGAAATCTCTTCATGGAGATAAATCTCCCTTAGCTGTGAAATGGTACCACCAGAGAGAGACAGTCTGCACTTGATGTTTATCTTGGAATTTTATGTTTAGTGAGCATCAGGAGACAGGACTCTTATCTTTTGGATCTATCCTGCCAGTATCATTTTTATACCTAACCAAAAAAGCAAGACATTTCTGAAAAATTACTTCTTAAAAAATTATTGAAACAGTTTTTAGTACTGATTTTTTAAAAAAGTGCAATTTAAAAGGAATTACTGGAAAACTTTTTGAGTAGAATGTCAATGTACAATTAAACACCTTATAGAAACTATGATAATGCTAGATGAACTTTATATTTCTAATTGCTAATCTTAAAATTTAAGGCCTTTTGTTTTACACATGGCTTTTTCCCCAGCCAGTTCCTGCCTAAAGCAATAACCATACAATATGTGTGTTTTCTTAAATCAGGTAAATTGGTCTGACCTTTCAGTCACAACAGTAACAAAAACTCACCAAGAGCTACAGGAATTTCTACTGAAGGTAAAATTACAGATTTTGTTGTTAAGATTTGTATATGATATAGAGATTCCTAAAGATTCAATGCCAAAGGAATCACCAAGAAATTAAAACACACATATGTTGACTCCAAATTCTGAATGAATATGAGTTGTAGAAAATGTTCCATTGTGTCTTCTTACCTAATATTACCTGCACAAGTGGCAGAAGAATTTGTTTTAGAAAATGAATCTCCATTCTTGGGCACTGCAGAGGTATTTCTTGGTGGGTGTTTCTAAGGGCTCTTTCCCTGAGACAGCATCTGCAACAAGATGAGGCTTATGTTCCCGTGGTACCTAATACAGTGAAGTTCTCTCTATTGGCTCCTCTTAAACCTTCCTCCTTTTCTTCCTTGGAATTCATCTTTCTCTCACCCCACCCTCAACAGTTGTCTTAATACTGTCAGGAATAAGAAGATGGAATTATCTCCTGAAGATTTGTTTTGTGCGCATTCTTACCTGTTCCTTTGAATAAAGCCTGTTAATCAGATGTAATCGAAAACAAAAGAAGTAAGGTCTATGTGATCAAAAAATTACTGTTGCTCAGTAAGCAAATATGTTATAGTTTATTCTTAACAGGGGGATAAAGCTGAAAAATCCAGAACAGGAAATATTTCTAATTCATTTACCAAGTTTTGGTGTGAATGTGTCATTACTGAGCACCTGACTTGAGAATTTTGCTGGGATTCACATAGTGTGCTTGTGTCTTCTCTTCAGATCATGTGTGTGTCTGATGATTCTTATCTCTGCAAGGGACTGATTTTCATCAGTCTGTGGGCTTCAAGCACAATGCTGGAGGCTGGTCCTCTGACACATATTTTGGCACACTGTCAAAATGTTAGTTTGTTGGATTTGCTAGTTCTATAGATTAAGTCAGTTGAATAGTGTCGTCCCCCCCCCCCCCGTGGCTTATTTTAAACTGAATCCTCTTTTTCTTCCCCTTTTATTAAAAATAGATTTTTTTTCTCATACTATATATCCTAAATACAGTTTCCCCTCCCTCTCCTCTCCCAGCTCCTCCCCAGACCCTCTCCCATCCAGATCTACTATTTTTCTGTCTCATTAGAAAACAGGCTTCTAAAAGATAATAAAACATTAACAAAGTAAAATATAATAAGATAAATAAAACTATCATATGGAATTGGACAGGGCAAATCAATAGAAGGAAAAGAGCTGAAGAGAAGAATCAGAGACCCACCTGTTCACCCGCTCAGGAGTCCCATAAATATACTAAACTAGAGGCCATAATATACAGAGGCTCTGGTACAGGCCTTGTGCTTGCTGCTTCAGTGTCTGAGATCATATGAGCTTTGCTCAGTTGACTTAGAGGGCCTTGTTCTACTGGTGTCCTCCATCTCCTTTGGCTCTCCAACTCTTCTGTCTTGTTTTCCGCAGGGTTCCCTGAGCTCTGAGGGGAGGGATCTAATGGAGAATCCCATCTAGAGCTGTTATTCTCGCTCTCTCTCGTTCTGATGATGACTGGATAAGGCACTGCTCTATGAGTATAGCAGGATGCCATTAGGGACCATTTTATTGTTTTTTGTTTTTAACCCAGTAGTATTTGGTTTTACCCTAGGTTTCTGGATTTTCTCAGTTAAGGGCTGAGAATGCCCTGACCCATTCAACTTACTGACCACCTGCATGTAAAGATGGGGGATCTTCATTCATTTTTAGTTACCAGGGTCTGTGTCCCTCCTGACAGTCCTAGACAATTTCGTGAGAGAGCAGGCAGAAGGGGTGACAGACAGTATGAGCACTGGCCTCTTTTTGCCAGACACGTGGGAACAATTGGAAAGGTGTCAGGGAAACAGTGGCTGTGACCCTGCCAGGTGCTGAGAGACAAGATGGCAGCGCAGCAGGGAAAGTAGCCCCTGGCTGCCTTCTGATGGTTGGGTCATTGGGTTGGGTCTGCTCCTCTTTCCTTTGCATACATTTGTGAATCTCTTCTGCTTATCATTAGCTTCCTTGTGTCTTAATAGGATACATGTACCAGCCTTCAATGTAAGCTAAATAAACAATTATGAGCAGCCACCATTTAGATTTGGCAGCAGGATGCTTTTGTTTCCTTCTTTCTACTGTTTTTTTTTTTTTTTTCTTTCTCTCTCCATAGCACAAATTCAGTGCTGAAGAATGAGCTCCAAGGGCTACACAGACAGGGCTAAAGGGCTAAAGTTTTTAGTGGAGCCAGACACTGTCACCTGTCAAGGCCAGATTATTTGATGCCAGCTTGTATGTGATGTTCCCACCTGTTTGTCTCTTATCAGTGAGCAACATAGACCTCGTTGCAAGGCTCTGGCCTGGCTTCTAGCAGTCTCCTTTCTTGTCTTTCTCTCCCTAGCTTCAGCAGTGGTGTCTTGACAGATTACCTTCTTCTGTCACATAGCTTTTCTAAATGTAAGTGCTGAACAGCAGCAAAAGCCCTAAATGCCTTCTCATTCTTCAGGGTCATAGTAGTAGCCCTTGGCTTAGTCAGCATTTGACTGAAGCATTTTTCTAAAACTCATGACCTGGATTAATCTGCATTGTTTTCCTAGAAATGAATTGTCTCTGGTCAAATATCCTTCAGGTTGACTGCCCCATCTTACACTGTTTGTAGAAGTCAGAGCAGCACCTGTCCTGAGCTGTGTAGTGAGGCTTTGGTGGCTGCTGTGTTGTTGAACGGCATTTCAGAAGCATGGGTTTATTTGGGGTTGCTGAGTTCTCTCATTGTGAGAACAGCAGCTTCTGCCGTCCATGTCCTGGCCCCTTCCAGTTTGTTTTTCATATTGCCACAGCAGCTCTGTGAGTTTTTCTTTCTTTTCCTTCACTGCTGTATCCACAGGTCCTGAAACAGTACCTGGGAACAGAGTAGGAGTTTGGATGCTTGCTGACTTTTAAGTGAGATGTAGTGTGTATTGTAGTGAGTTTTATAAGGGACAGAACAGAACATGATATAAATATATGACCTTCCTCAGGAACATACTGCAGCGCCCTCGAGATTGCGCTCTAAAAGCTCACTGTCTTAGCATTAGAGAGGAGCAAAGGCTGATGTACATGCAGTCTGCCAACTGTTGCTGTGTTTCTGCGGCTGTGCCACACTTTCCAGACTGGGGAAGTTTATCACACCAGACCTGCCTATTTCTGATCAAGAAGAGAAAGTCTACTTCAGAGACCCCTGAGCTGAAGCATAAGATTAACAAGGCTATATTGGCTCTAACCTACAGTGTGGCTAGGAAACCACACCAGAATGCTATGGTTCCAATGGCAGTGTTTTAGTGTTCTCTTCATAGCAGTCAAGCCCAGTGATCCCTCCAGATGTTGAGAAGTAGCAGCTTGGCTTTTAATTCAAGGTCTTGACATCACAGTTACAGTCTTTTAAAAGTCTGAAGGCAGTGGATCAGTAAGAAAGATAGGTTTGGCATTTATAGCACAATTTAAGTTGATTGGTCCCTTTTCAAAGTGAAAGACTTCTTCAATGAGGGCGTGCTTAAAGATAAACTATTATCTACGTACAGAAACCTTTCATTACTCAGGTTGTGAAGAGGCAGGACTTCGGACATGGGCAGCTGGGTCTTTTACAAGTAAGATGGAAAGAAAAAAAATCTAATAAAGTAGAATATAAGAGACATACTTTAAATTTCTGTTTTCAGCAAACAAACTTCCCTTTCAGCTGAGTGGACCCTGTAAAATGAAGAGAACAACCACATGAAAAGAAACTAGATTGTATACTAATGACTGAATGTCCCGGTAATGTGAACTATGTTATTGAATTGGTAGAGTCCTCCGTTATGTAGAGCAACTATCAGTGATTTGAAACTTGAAAGTCTTCTCTGCCAGAGCTGTTTTTCTCTGTCACGGTTTACATACTCCATAGAAATTGTGGTACTGAGGAGGCAGCTGACTTGTAAAAGTGTTGGCTGCATAAGCAAGAACACCCATGTGAAAGCTGACACGGTCAACCGTATCTGTAGCCTTGGCACTGAAGTGTTGAGGGACAGGTGGAGCCCCTGAAGTCGCCAGCCAGCCAATCTTGCCTGCCTCAAAAAATGAAGTAGAAAGCAATCAAAGAAAACACTTGGTGTCAATTTCTGCCCTCCACATGCATGTACATGTACTTGCATACATACATGTTCATACATATTTACTATATGTACACACAGTATACACACTAAATAAGAAAAACATTGTTTAAAATTAGTACTAAATACATAGTGTCAGAAATCTATATTAAAGCGCTGTTGTCAAAGTGTCATTATTGAAATTAATAGTGTTTATCTGGAAAATGTATCAGTTCAGAAGTTGTGTCTTCAGGCTGGTTGTTTGAGGACATGATTTCCTTAGTGGGCTGTGTATGGTCTTTTTGATCTCGGATTGTTTACTAGATGCTGACCAAACATCCCAGTGCCATGCTCACGGTGCTTGACATCAGCAGTGCTGCTGCCTTTGCTCAGAGGGCAGAGTTTACTAAAAGAATGTTTACTTCGCAAATCAGAGTATGTAGATTTTTTTTTTTTGTCTATGGCTCTTTAGGTTATACGACTTGACTCACAGCTATTCTTGATTTTAGTGAAAAGTGACAGAAATTCAGAAGTTAATCACAAAAGTCAAAACTGAATTCTTAAAAAACTTAGTTTTAGAACCCATTTTCTAGGAATATTTTTAGTTAAACAAGTTGAATAATGTGATAAGAGTTTTGTTTCATTTTTTTTTTTTTTTTCTGGCCATATGATTCTTTCTTAGAGATTCCAGCGCATTGCTGATAGCACATACCCATCAGGTTGATAAAAACGCTGAGGAGTGGGTTTTAGAATTTTGTTTATTATGGGCGAAGGGTGTGCAGTATATGTGTGCATGTAGAAGTCAGAGGGCGGCTCTGAAGAGTTTGTGCTCCCCTTCCATTTGCCCCTGGGCTCAAGGGATTGAACTTAAGGCTTTAGGCTTGAGCAGCAAATGCTTGTACCTGTGAGTCATCCTACCAGCTCTGATGAGTGTTTCTGGTAAATAAAACTGCAAGAATTTGGCCCAGCTTTCCTAATTTTTTTTTTTTTTTTAGTTTTGGCATTTAATTGTCTACCATTGCCTGAGATTAGACTGTGAGAAGCTGGAAGCACAGAACCGGTAACAGTCGAGGCAGAGACAACACTTTTCAGAACAGTGTTCCAGGGCTAAGGTGCCAGCCTCACTCTGCAGAATGCCCACTTTAGCTTGAAGCTGTGTATGAATGTCATTTCAGAGGGGGAGGGGCTTGAGCCTGAGATTTTCATGTTGTACAGCGAAGGGTTTCCAGTGCACTTGGGCCAGTCTCCAGAGATCTGCTTCCAATAGGACAGACCGGTACCACGTCAGCCTGGTGCCTTAGAAAGAATGCTTTGAGATGGTTAATGAGAAGGCATTTCTTTTCATTTTAATTTTAATTCCTTATATTTTTTTAGTAAGGAAGACAAACGAACAAAAATGAAAATAAACCTCAGCATTGGATATTGTGTTTTTTCCCCCCTCTGGTAGCTTCCAAAGGAGTTGTCTTCTGAGACTTTTGACAAGACCATCTTAAGAGCCCTGAGTCAGGGTTCTTTAAAAAGGGAAGAGCGGCGACACCCTGACCTGGAGCCCATCCTAAGGTAACAGCTACCAGGACCTGTGTTAGGACGGGCTGTGGAGGGAGGTCAGAGACTTTTCTCTGGAGTTTGTGAACTGGACTTTTCGGTCAGGTACTACATAGGTCTAGGCTCAGAGTAGACGGTAACAGCCCTGTTTGTCACTCTTTGCCTTCCTTCTCTCACATAGCTTTGGTTCTTTTCAACCTGAAAGTATCATGAGTTAACCTTCCCCTCTCCCCCTCCACACACACAGCATGAATTTTATTGAAGATGTCCTTGTCACTGGCTAGGCTGGGGGAGACTGAGTTGTCCAGTGAGTTGGTGGGAGGCTGGTGGGAGGAAGTAGACAGAAGTGACCCTCAAAAGCACTTGCTGACTACCATTTGCTTTCTCGGAGTCCAGTGCTGCTTACGGTCAGGTCTTTGCCTTTGCGAAGTTGTTGCACCATTAGAAATGTGTGTATTGCTTAGATGGTTAAATGTGGTGTCCTGTTTAAACGCTACCTTGTGTTCACTCCTAGAGCCTGGCTTATGCAGGGGTGGGGGATGGTACAGGGTAATGGGTGGTACAGCCTTTCTTCTGCCCCCTCAAATGCAAGAGTGTGGTATAAAAAAGTAACCTGTTTTGTGATTGGATTTGAAAGGTATATGTTATATTATCACTGATATCAGCTTCCATAAAAAGGGAGAGATTGAAGGTAAAGGATCAAATGCTAGATAGGAAGCATTTAATAAAATTCTGTAGGCAGGGTGTGGTAGCCCATGCCATTAATCACAGCGTTTCGAGCCTGGTCTATAAAGTAAGACCCTATCTTTAAAACAAAACAAAACAAAACAACCCACCATGTACCAAAAGAAGGGTAAGAGAATAACCAACTGAAGGAAACTGAGAAGCTACACAGGAAGGGGTCTATCTGAAGGTCAGGCCAGTACAATATACCAGAGGCCGTTGTCTGGCTTCTTCATGCTCTTTCCCAGATAGGCCCTAGCCCCCCCCCCAGCTCAGCTGGATGCAGTTCTCTGACTGCTGTATCAGATGCAGAGGCCTGCAACTTTTAGAAGATACAGCTTTTATTTTCCTAGAAGGCTAGCAGTTTGTGTCATCATGAAGTTTTACCCATATATCTGTTTAGATTTTTGTGACTTTCTTAGCTCTTTGAACGAAATATGAATTAACATTAACAATTTCTCTTTTGTGCTGTTTAGCTGTGATGGTTAAAATGAAATTTCAGATGTTATTTTAGCTCTGTCTTTGTTTTTGTGTCCCATCTGTCTATCTCTTTTAAGATTGGAAGTTAATTCCAGATTGTTGGTTTTAAGTTTCAAACTTAAAGTCATTAAAGAAAACTGAAGTGAAAGTATGATCACATGGCTCAGCGTCATAGGTGAGAACCCTCTGGTTTGCCTTCAGAACATGAAGCAGGCTTCCTGAGGAGAAACTGTGTCCCAGAGTGTTGTTAGGATCAAGGTGGCCCAGGACAGGGAAGGCAAGGTGGCTCACCAATAGAGATAGGCAGAAATCTGGAATGGGACCTATTGCCATTGTATCAGAAAGTCCAAAGTGACTGTGGGAGAAAATGACTAGAGTGAGAGGGAGCCCAAAATGGCTGCCCTTGTAGATATCCACATCTCCAAGTGAAACATGACTTAGGGTGGGAGAGACACTGAGGCTGGTTCCAAAACTGAATGTTAAGTGGATCTAAAAGTTGGTGGGTGACTTGCCTGGGTGTAGACTAGGTAAAATGGAGGAAGAGAGGCCAGATGGCAAGGCAAGACTTGCAGGCACATGAGTGCCAGGACAGTTGGAGGAGACAAGCACCTTCCACCAGAGCAGCTCTGAAGAATGCTGGAGCCTTGTGTTTAGTAAGAATACCAGCCATAGTTACTAACTTGTGGTGTCTCAGATGACACAGTGAAAGTGTTTAGAAGAAGAAAGTGTAGGAGGGGAGCAGAGAGCATTCTGGGTAAGAGCAAGTAAATAAAGTTACAGAATAATTGAATTCCTAGGTCCCTGAATGCTCAGACTTCAGAGAGCTTGTATCTTTTCTTGGGACCCTGTATAATAAGTGTGGGTCCTTATTCTCCATACTGGAGTGGGCAGGGGATTCTGATTCCAGCGAGCTCCAGGAGGTACTTTTGGTTCACAGAGGATCTCTGCATCTGATACAGCACTAAGAGAACTGCATCCGGCTGAGCTGTGGGGCTAGGGCCTATCTAGCAGCATGAGCCCCAGAGCCTATCTGGGAACGAGCATGAAGCAGCCAGATGACAGTCTCTGTTGTATGGATGGCCACAGAATATGACCCTTAAGTGGCCCAGAAGGTCATTGTTTACTGCTCTCTGTCCATATTGGCTTTAGTTCAGTGCTTTGAACCTAGCCAGACCAGGTAGATCCCCTGAAATCACTGGCCAGCCAGTCTAACCAATTGGTGAACTCTGGATTCAATGAGAGAGACCCTGTCTCAAAAGATGAGGTGGAAAGCAATAGTAGAAAACACTTAGTAACTAGTAGTGGACAAAAGGTCTACTGCTGTGCTTCTCAGTGAAGACGGATGTGGTTGCATTATTTATTCAGTATATCTTAATGCAGTAGTGCTCAATGAACAGTGATTGTTTGGGTAGTTGTTTGGGTCGTTGTGTGGTTTCCATAATAAATCTACCACGAGGAAATTCAGAAGAGAAAGAAAAGATCTCTCTTGACCGATAATTTTTGTTAATTATCTTTTGTTAATTATTTTCTTTGCCTATAATTACAGATCTACAGTTAAGTTGCCTCTCAAGTTAAAAATTTAGTCCATGATACAGACTTACCATGCTTTATGGTGTGGTGGTGGTCTGTTACTGTGTTGTCTGTTTTCCAAAACTCTAAACTTTTCAAACTTCTCAGCCTCTCCCCAAGTGTGAGATGGTCCCTTGATAGAACAGCCAGATGACGAACAGTGTCACACATGAGAAAGAGGGAAGGCTTTGCAGGACTTTTCTGAGTAAAAGCAGCTTTGGGATTATCTTCGCAAACTACTGAAATGATAACTTGTTTGTTTGTTTGGTCAGGTTGAAACTTTCCCATTAAAAAATTAATCTTTTTAGTAGGTTCTTGCAAAAAGGTTTTGTTAAAGTTTTCCCGGTCCTGCAGAAATTTATAAGAAAATAGTGCTTTCTTGGGGGAAAGGTTTGGCTTACACCCCTCCCCTCCGCCACCCTTTCTTGAATGCAGCACGCACGTAGGCTGGCTGTTAAACCGAACTGAGACTCTACAGATGCACATTGGCCGTTAATATAACTCTTCCTCTTCTGCAGGCAGCTATTCTCGACTTCATCCCAGGCTTTTCTTCAGAGTCAGAAAGTACGCAGCTTTTTTCGGTCAATATCATCGGAGTCTCAACACAGTGTCAGTAAGTGCCCTCTGTTCCTCTGTAGAAATCTGGGAAGTGTTTTTGTTTGTTCAGTTTTGTGCTTTTTTTTTTTTTTTTTTTTTAATGGGGTTTGTTTGTTGCTTGTTTTTCCTGTCTTTCTGTGCCAAACTGTTGTTCAAACATTAAGAATTTTAGACAAAAGTTAAGGAATAGAGACATGCAATTAAGAAATATTTGGCCTCGTCATTGAACTTTACACTGAACCTTTAAAGATCATGATATAGAAAGTATAATAGAACCAAGCAGAGTGGTTACCGTAGAAAGGAGGCCCTTCAGTTCCTTGCAGAGCTGGTTTACGGAGCCCAAGAGGTTGCCTGCGCTGGGGCAGGATGTGTGTTGTCTCTTTCTCCTGGAGTACCATCCTGTGCTGACTTTTACATCCCCTTAGCCCATATGCATCTCATGTGTCCTTTGCCCCATCAGCATCTAAAGACCAGCCTATGTTAGACAAAGGATGCTGTCCTTTTTTGTCCTTTTCCATCCTTTCTGTTGTGAACTTCCTTTGGATCTTTTAGGCTGCGGCTGCTTGAAAGCTCGGCTCTTCTTAGAGCCTTATAGCTTACTGTTCTGGTGTCCTTGTGTCCATTACTGTCACTGCCCCTTAAGAGCACACCTGTTCAGTAGCAAACTGAACAGCACCTCTTCAGGAAATTTTCTCAGTCTTGCTTCCATGTGTTGTTTTGTCTTCGTGTTTCAGTGTTCACCTTTTCTGTCTCATGTTCAGTATTCCACAAATTCTCTTCAGCCTGACTTTCAAACAAATATTTTGCCAATAATGCTGATATGTCCCATAGGTAATTTCTCTGCACTTTAAGCACAGCCAGTATTTTCCAGAACACTTTTTCTTTCCATCTGTTTTCAATTGTCATTTTTTTATACTTAAAGGAAAAAAGAAAATACATGCCTCCTCAGTTTGAGGTATGCAAAAAAGAGATGAAAAATATAATTGACTACTCAACGTGTATTAGCTTTTAAAGTTTAACTGCTGGTGTGGCACATTTGGTATCTGTGTGCATGCCTTAAATGTTTGGAACCTAGTTAGCAGGTAGGACCAAAAGTACAATTGCAAGACCAGCTAACTGAAGTAAGATGCACTGCTCCATGGCTTGGAGGCTGAATTTGTCTGAATAGGGGCAGAACTTCTTAAAGTCATAGCTGTTCTAGAGCTCTGCAGGCTTCTTAACAGTCAGCACCTTTCCCCAAGCCAAAGTGTAAGCATTTTTAATGGTTTCTACCAGTAGCATCTGGTTCATCTTAAAACGGTGTTGAAACAAAGTTAAGCTTCTTCCCAGATTATCAGCCTGCTCAGAAAAGCTGCCCACATGGGATGTATGCATATACATAAGCAGAGTCTCGTGAGGGCTTGGCAAGGTTTTAAATTTGCAAGCAATGCTAAGGAGCCTGGCAGGTTTTATCTGGAGTGAACATGTAAAATACTGTTGAATGTATACGTGTTAGATTGTGGAGAAACTTGTCAGCAGTCTACATGTGTGAGTTGTTTTGCTGAAGAATAACACAGTGTTGTCAGGTTCATTTGCACACTTAAAACAAACAAACAAAAACCTATCTTTTGTTCCCCTGGGTCAGAGAACAGTGTTCCGTATGCTAACAGATAACTCTTGTGCAAACAGTGTTATACTCTTGAATCTACTGCTCTCAAAATATTTTCAACGGGTCAGTGCTTATCCATAATTACTGCTTTGTAACAAACAAATTGGGTTTTATAGCATTTCAGTATTGCCACAGGGTTTTAAAAAAGTAACAGTGTACAACAAACTGGAATTTTTCAAAAGTTTAGACAGTAGATAGTAGAGGTACACTCCCCCATTTGGTCCTTTGGTGAGTGAGGATGCTGTGACTGACAGGTGTGGGGTGACCTGCTCCACCCAGGCGGTGCCTGAGGGAACAGCTGGCTCCAGGACTCCACTCAGATAGTCCTGTGCATTCTTGAAGGTCCTTCCCTGGAGAAAGGTTCTTTCACTAGTAACTCTTCCCTCTCCTCTCCTTGGGGCAGAGGGATAATCATAATACTTATTTTCTTTATCTCACTACTATAATTTTCCCAGAGTTAGTAGTATTGAATTATTTCCTGCAGATAACTTACAGTCCTCTCTGAAGACTTCTAAGATATTAGAACACTTAAAAGAAGACAGCTCAGAAGCTTCAAGTCAAGAAGAAGGTAATTGTAGACTCACTAGACTAAGTCTGCATACACTGACACAGGGTCAGAACAGAGTAAAGAGAGCCCACATTCAGACAGGGGTGTTGGGGTGTGTCAGACACGGCATTAGACAACAGAGCAGTGGGCAGAGAAGAGGTTGCTCACTTCATGGTGTTGGCACAGCTGGCTTTTATTTTTAGTGAGTATTTATCAGATCCCACCATATGTCATGCATGAAGCTTTCAAGGGAATAACAAGTGTTTGTAAATTGTAAAGTTTAAAGATTTATGTGAAAGCCTGGAGAAAGGCGGCTTTTGTTGAATAAGGTGGATCATGACCACAAATTTGACTAAGCAAGAACTTAATATATGACCAAAGAGCCCAGATACTTAGAAAACAGTCTACTGACGAGATACCAGCAGGGGTTGACAGAGAGAGGAGTAATTGCTTGCAATAGAAGGCTCCTTCTACCTTGGATCAGTGAAATCATCATCGTGATATCAATCAGTGAGATATTCCTTTCAACAGATATGTGAGTTTATGGATGATGAAACCTCTACCTAATAGGCACACAGCCTCATAGGTAATTGAGAAATTAAAGGAGAGGACAGTGAGAAACTATTGCTTATTCATCAGAACAGTGAACCATTTTCAAGTCTGATGCCCCAAGCACAGTGGCAGTGGGAACTCAGACGTTACGGCTAAGATGTAAATTGGTAAACATGTTTGCACAGACCACATTTGACATGATGCAGTGAAGCTGGAGATCATGGCTGCTGCCTGCTGCTGATTCGGCATCTGTGAAACTTGGCTGTGTGCTGCCTGCAGCATGGTTTGTAGCAACAAATACCAGGGAGTTGCCTGAATGTTTCAACTAAATAGTGCTATCACTGCTAGGCAGCAGTTAAGGAAAAAGGTATTTGTAGCATATTCAACATGCCACAGCCCTGTATGAGTTTATGAATGTACTCACATGTACGGGTAGTTAAAATGGTACTTTCACTAGAGTGTCTCAACAAGTTAGCTAATAGTTAACCTCTGTAGAGGGAGAGTGGAGTGAAGGGTGACCCTTAGTCTTACCTCATATGTTATTTCTTTTTCTGAGTAACTAGAGAGTGATTTTGTACATGGGTGTATGTGTTTCTTACAGACTTTTAAAAGTACTGAAACTTTAACGGAAATAGTTTTACCTGAAGTAAATACAATTTGAAGTAACATGTTCACATTACATTTGCATGGCTTTGAATAAGATTGTTTTGCACATTTGAGGTGATTCAGTAGTGTATTTTTTTTTTAATTTTTTATTTAACTTTTATTAATTACACTTTATTCATTTTGTATCCCCCCATAAGCCCCTCCCTCCTCCCCTCCCGGTCCCACCCTCCCCCCCTTTCTGCATGCATGCCCCTCCCCAAGTCCACTGAGAGGGGAGGTCCTCCTCTCCTTTCTGATCTTAGTCTATCAGTTCTCATCAGAAGTGGCTGCATTGTCAGGGTTCTAGATTGATTCAATAGTGTATTACATAACTGAAGATGTGGCACGGTCTCTTCTGTAAGCTTGGTGTGGTGGCACACACCTGGAATCCTAGCACCCAGGAGGCTTAGGCAGGAGTTCAAATTTGAGGTCAACCTGGACTATGTAGGGAGACCCTGTCTCACAGAAACAAGTGGACACTCCCCTTATGCTGGGAACTGTGCTCAGCAGGGGCCACCACTGTTTAGATACATCAGTTAGTATATCATCTGCTTTGTGTTTTGCTACAGCATATAGTATCAAAGATTAATTCTGCTTTTTTTTTCTACCCTAGATGTGTTACAGCATACCATAATCCACAAGAAACATGCTGGGAAAAGTCCTTCTGTGAAGTAGGTATCTCACTTGTAAAGTGTGAATGCCTTTATACACCTTACAGTCAGCCAACATTTAGTTAAATCCCTGATATTTTGGTTGTCTGTGATTCTACCATTTTGCTCTGTTTCTTTCAGTTGTCTTACCTGCCGTTCTCCTTTTGTCTCTTTCCTCGTTGTCTTTTGAAGTTCTTCTCTTGTGGCAGCCTTCACTATATTTTGTTCTTCTGGTGGTTACCCCAAAAATTGCAGTGTGTCTTTTTACCTCTTAAAGTCTAATGTAAATTTGTGCTTGCAGCATTTCTCAAGTAATCTGAGGAGCTTGAATCACTATAACATTTCTTTTTTCTGAGTTATAAATAATAATCATTCTGCATTTTCATTCTCTTCATAGTTTTAAGTTTTGATACCCTTTTTCAGTGTTCATTTAGGTTCTTTTTTGCTCAAGCATCCACCTATGATGGATTCTCTTTTAAATGAAAGCACTGTTCCCTGCAATACATCTGTGTCGATAAATGCAGTTACGGTGTGTGCGCTTTGTATTACTAGGTCTTGGACATGGATCTTCACAAATGCTAGGCTAGCCCTCTGCGTCTGAGCTACATTTAACCATGAGTGCAGGGGGGGTTGTTTTGTTTTGAGACAGGATTTCTCTGTACAGCACTGGCTGTCCTGGACTCACTTTGTAGACCAAGCTGGCCTCACAACTCACAGCGATCTGCCTGCCTCTTGCCTCCCTGAGTGCTGGGATTAAAGGTGTGCGCCACCACACCTGGCTGCAGTTTTAAGTTTTTATCTAGAGGAAAAAAGTACAGTTTGCCTTAATTTTTAAAAGCCTTTTTGCGTGCTGTGTGATTCTTGGTCGGTAGTTTCTTTCTGTTAGCTCTTTGAAGCTATAATTGACCACCTTCTTCTAACTGTATAGTTTTCACCTGATGTGTATAATCCCCTTCTGCCACCTGATGTCTCTGGCAAATCACATGAAATCATTTATGTCATTTCCGGTTTATGTAGCAGTGGTCCTGCCCCCTCACTCAGGTGCCACAGGACCCTTGCTGACTCTGTGGGCACCTGCTCGCTTGTCTCTGTCCATGTGCGTGGAGCCTCTTTGCTTATGGCAGTCATTGTTCTCCTTTCTGGGAGCCCCTCTCACTTTAGACGGCTCTTGGGGTGGAAGCCACCATCCCTACTGTTGAGTCAGTCTTGGTACTGTTGTTTCCTTAGTTCTCTCTCCTGGTGCTTTTGGGTTTTGCTCAGTTGTCTGTGATAGACTTTGTAGCTGGTTTGCAGCAGTTATGCTTCTAAAATCTTTGTATCTTTTGATTTTAGAAAATTCGTAGGTCACGTCTGCAGACATTCCTCTTATTTCGTCCTCTTGGGCCATCTTGTCACAAGGTCCTTATGCGTGCACACACCTTACTTGTCTTTTACATTTTTATGTTAGGTCTTTTTCTTCTTCTCATCAGTTCCTTTTATCATGTTCCCATCCATTGAATTCTTAATCTGGTTTGAGAGAGAATACTTTACGTTTGATTCTTTCAAGTGAATTTGCAGACTCCTCGGTCTTCCTGTATTCATTAACAGTGTTAAACACCCAGTCTATACCCAGTAACTTCTCTGGATTCCTTAGGCCTGTTCCTGTTGTCTGTGTTTTGAAGGGTTGCCGATCACTTTATGCTGATCCTTCAGGTGCCTCTTCATGCATTTCCTCACGTAGCAGGTTTTGCAGCCTCTCTGTTGAGCTGACTGGCAGTGGAGCATAAATTAGACTTTTATTATTTTTTAAGAGTATCCACTTTTCGATATACCTGTCACTGTACACTCCGAAACAACAGAAGCTAAGAGGTTGGCGAAAGTTTTCTTGTACCTTCTTCATTGAGATGGTAGAGTAGGTTAAGGATGGGGACAGACTTCACACTGTCATATGCTTTCTTTTTATAAGCAGTGTTGGTACAAGCTGTTCTCCATTGGATGGGCTTACCATGCAGTATGCAGAACAGAATGGAATTGTGGATTGGAGGAACCAAGGCTGTGCCGCCATTCAGCACTCAGAACACTGTGTGACCTCAGCTGACCAAGTATGTGGCGGGTTGGCTTTGGTGCCATGTGGTTAAAGCATTGCCACTCTGTGTTTCCTAAGAACTGAATGCTGTAAGCTCAGTGTCAGATGGCTTATCTATTAAGTGAGGGAACGTTTCAGCACCAGACTTTATCCTTAGATGTGATTGAATTCTTCTGAGGTCTGGAAAGTTCTATCTAGATAACTGGCTGTTTGTGTAGGAATTACAATTTATTAGGACACCAACGATCTTTATTCTAGTTCTAGGGGTTCATTAAATTATTCAGTTTATTTACATAGTAGTAGTAGTAGTAGCCTTAAAAAGATTATTTTATGTCACTGTCTTGATATGACAAGGTTTTTCAAGCAGTAAATGAATGTTTGCTTTCTCGTGAACTGCTGTGGTGAGAGGAGAATGCTGTGGTGCCCTTAGTAAAATGTGCCCCCACATACTGGAGCAGAGAACTCATGCTGTAAGTGCAGTCTGTTTCTCTGGTAGACTGATTTGTGAACTTTATTGTTTTTGACCAATACACAGATCCATGTGTGTTTTTGTGGACCAGAGCTTATTTTGAGAAATTGTAACTTGTCACTGTTTCTCTATTCCAGTGTCTATGTCCTGTCTTAAATTTGACAAATAGGCCAGTTTTATTGACCCAAACATCAAATGAAGACCCATAGCGAATGCGATCACTCGATCCCAGTCTATTTTAGACAGTAGTCTTCCTTGCCCACAGCAGTAGCGTAGCCAGAACTCGGCAAGCAGAGTACCTGAAAACCAAGTGGTATCAGATACTGTGTGCGTTTTCCTGTGCAGACGTGCAAAGTTATGATAGGCTTTGAGCTGGGCCCAGCGTGAGGTTAACAGTACCACTGTAATAAAGTAAGCTGTAACAGTATACTTTCCTAACTTCGGTGGTTGTGTTGAGGTGCTTAGTTGTTCTCAGGCAAGTAGTGAGTATGTCCTGAAGGGTGGAACAAAGTGAGGTTTCACCAGTTCGCTCAAATGGAAATTTAAGACATGCACCATGTCTACTTCTGGAGTTATCCTGAGTATGTTTTTGACTGGTTGACTTTGGAAAGTGAAAGTGGAAGTAAAGAAACCTTATTGACTTGAGATCCGATTTAAAATAGCAATTTTCCCATGATTTGTGTTACGTATTCGTCATAGAATATGTATGCTTTCCTGCTTCTGTAGGTAACATCAGAAGTGGCTGGAAATCAAAATGTGTTAGTCTGTGATGGGGAACATTGTCATTTTAGGATACCTTTAGCAGTGTGGTGTAGCTGAGGTCTATTTCTTTTTTATTTCTACTAGCACTCTGCTGAAAAACGAAGCTTATCTTCAGTAAATAAGAAGAAAGGAAAGCCACAAATAGAAAAGTAGGTTCAATTTAATGTTAATGTTTCCAGTAATAATAATTAGGAAGGACAAGCATGCAGTATTTGGCTATGGGTGTATTTAGTTTTTGTATATATATAAATATATATAACTATATATATATATAAACATATATAACTAAATAAAATAACTATATAGTACATAATTCTCTCTCTCTCTCTCTCTCTATATATATATATATATAGTTATATAGTTATATTCCAACGGTTTTACTTTTTAGTTTTGGGATTGACATTTGTAGTTGAAATTATCAACATGAAAGCGACAGAAGTAAAACCGTTATCAAAGGATGTGTTTAGTATGGAAGGGCTTTTCTTTTTTACGGTTTTTAATTATACAAGTGTCAGGAGGATTTTAGTACTACTGTATTTAATGTTTTTGATAGAGGACCTTAACAAAAGTATTGATAATATTAATATATTTGGTTTAGGGAGAAAATTAAGAAAACGGAGAACAGATTGAACAATAGAATAAATGGCATTAGACTCTCTGCTCCCCAGAATGCTCATGGCGGTACTGTGAAAGGTAAGAAAGGTCTTTGCTCCGGTGCTTCTTAGTCTGTTAGTGTAGCCTCAGCTTGGTGGACACTGAGCTGTTGTGTCAGTCCCCTGCCTGCTGTGTACGAGAGTTCCCAGTTTGACAGGCCCGAGTCTATACTGCAGAGCTGGCTGGTTCTGAAGCCATGGAGGTCTTTTCTGCAGCTCTATGGACCACCCTCAGGGAAATGGACACATACTGTCAACTTTAGAATGTTACTGATACTTTTTAGAATTTGATGGCTGTTCTTTGTAGAGCTTTGTTAGACAAGGTTATTTAGTCTGCATCTACCTAACATCTCTGAGGTAGAGACCATAGTCCCTCTGTTGAGAGTAGATTCATCTGAAAAGCCCCCTTCTACTAGTCACCAGTTGTTTTGTTGTGTTTCACCAGCCTGCACTATTGTAAAGATAGAAAAAGAGTAAAAAGCCATAGATCTCTAGGAACATATTCTGTGTTTATGCCACTAACCCACTGATTCCAGAAATAACTTTTTTTTTTTTAAGTCTTAATGTCCTGGTGTAGTGCATTAATTTGTGATACAACAAAAGTAACAAGAATTTATTTTTTATATATATTTTAATGTACATTGTTATTTTGTCTGCATATATGTCTGTGTAAGGGTGTTGGATCCTGGAGTTACAGACAGTTGTGAGTTGTCATGTGGTTGCTGGGAATTGAACCCAGGTCCTCTGGAAAAGCAGTCAGTGCTCTTAACTGCTAAGCTATCTCTCCAGCCCCATTATCATTTACTTTTAAATTTTAAATTTTAACTTCTCCTTTGCCTAATAGTACATTCATATAGCTAAGAACTATGAAAGAGAACAAAGTAAAGGTCTCTCACTGCTCCCTTCTCTGTCCTCTGCTTCCAGGAAGCAATCTGTGCTTAGTCATCTCTGTAAGCAGTGTGTTTTGGAAACCTGTGATATCTCAGTGCTAGGGAGGGTGGCACACTCGGGAAGGCCCAGGCTTTGGAGGCTGAAGCAGGAAGATTACCAGTTCAGTTCAAAGCCAGACTAGACTACTCAGTAAAATCATGTTTTGTTTTGTTTTTTTTAATTGCATTATCACTATTCTAAACAGGCATATGCAGCACCACACAGCGATCACTTAGAACTTGCTGCTGTGGGGTCTGGAGAGATGGCTCAGGGCTCAAGAGCACTTTACGCTGCACATTCATGAGGACTTGCGTCTTACACAGCACCACAAAATGAGTTGGATATGATCTGACAGGAGCCTTTAACCCTGGAGCTAGGGGTGGTGATTGCTGAGCCTGCTAGCCTTAGCCTAATGGAAAATGTGTGCCCTGGGTTCAGGGAGAAGCCATCTCAGAGTCATAGGTGAGAAGTGATAAAAGACACATGCACCTTCCTTTGTTCTCTGCATATGTGCACACAGGCAAGTGCACATGCACATACGAACACAAATATACCCCAAAATATTCAAACAGTAAAAAGAACTTGATGTTCACCTTAGCGTGCCAGCGTTTCTTTCTTCCCACTTTCCATGTTTCTGATTGCTGCACCACAGAGTTTAAAAGGAAATCAGATCCTCTTGAGATTTCTTTTTTGGTACAATTTTTACTCTTCTATAAGCCTGCTACCACTTTCCTTACAGCTTCTTGAGTTTTTGTGCAGTTTTTCCTTGGCAACTTGGTGTTAACCAAAAGGACCCAGCGATATATACATTCTTAATGCCTATATTGTTCATAATTCATTTAACATTTGTGTGGCTATGGCAGGCTAGATCAATCCTTAACCATCTTTACATTGTTAGACCTTTATTCCCTTCTTAAAGCACTGGCTAAATCAACTAAATTTGCTTATTCTACAAATATGTCTCCTCTGGTACATATTTTGCCAGGGTGATTAACAGTTGTTGCCTTTTATTGGTCGACCTTGTTGCCATGGAAATAATTAGCTTGCCAGTGCATCTTAAGAATGCCCTAGAATTGTTTATATGGATTTGTACAGTAAACACATGTTAGATGCTGGTCGTGTAACAAAACCGGTGTTAGGCTTAGAGAAATGAATAGGATGGGTCTGAGCTGTGTCTGGGCTGCTGTATGAGTGACTAGACATACGACTATTCTGTCCTAGTACCCACAGCGGATGTAGCTAATTGATCTGTGTACACTGCAGTCATTCCTACTATGTCTTGGCATACAAGTGGCCTCTGGGTAGAAATTAAATGGCTACTTAATCTGCTTGGTTAAAAACATGTTGCTTTTAATACACTAACATGGCTTTGACAGAACGAGTATTATGATAGACCACCCACCCTTGGAGGATTTCTTTAGCAAGTCCTAGGGAGAGAGACTCTGTTGATTTAGAACGCAGCTCGAAGTGGTGATACTGTACTGACACTACAAGAAGCTGATTCTGATATAGCAAAATAGACTTGTTCTGTGCCTTTGTTTTAAATATGTGTTTATCAGCTACTTAACAATGAATTTTAATATAGATCAAAGACAGTTTTTAGGTGTTGTAAGAAAACAAATCATTTATAGCTACAACTAATTTCTAATTCCATTTGAAAATTAACATAACTATTTAACATAACTTGTAGAGTTGTTATTTTTAGATATGAATTTGGACATTGGATCTGGACATGACACATGTGGAGAAACATCTTCAGAGAGTTACAGTTCTCCGTCTAGTCCACGACATGATGGAAGAGAAAGTTTTGAAAGTGAAGAAGAAAAGGACAGAGGTTTGCTTTTAGGAAAGGGGATTGAAAGAGGTGGGGGTGGATGAAACTGTTTTCTCTTAAGCAAACTCAGTCACAGAAAAAAACTCTTTATTGACTTAGAATGTGTATAAAAGTTATTTAAATGTCATTCACTGTATATGAAACCAAAAAGAAAGCAAAGGGGACTTTTTTGCATTTAAATTTTTTTAACTTTTTTTTTCAATTTATTCATTATATATCCCAATTGAGGACCCCTTCCTTAACTCCTCCTAGTCCACTCCTCCCAATCCACTAAAAGGGAGAGTTCTCCTCTACCATCTGCTCATAGTTTATCAAGTGTCATCAGGACTGCCTGGATCCTCTTCCTTGTGGCCTGACAAGGCTATATTGCCAGGGGCAAGTGAGCAAAGAGCAGGCAATCGAGTTCATGACAAAGGCATGTCACTGTTCCCCTTACTAGGGACCCGAACAGAGACTTGAGCTGCTGATCAGCTATATCTGAGCACGGGGTCTAGGTCTTTTTCATGTATAGTGCTTGGTTGGTGCATCAGTCTCTGCAGGACCCCCTGAACTCAGGATTTTTAGCTTTGTTGGTCTCCTTGTAGAGCGTCTACCCCTATTTCTGTCCTTCTGTCCCCTGCTTCTTTCATAAAACTCCTTGCACTCTGCCCAAACTTTGGCCTTGAGTCTCAGCATCTACTTAAATTCCCTGTTCGGTAGAACCTGTCAGAGGGTCCTCTATAGTAGGTTCCCATCCTGTTCTCTCTCTTCCACTGCTTCTGGTGTCTATGCTGTTTACCATTCTGAATGAGATTTAAGCAGTCTCCCTAGGATTCTCCTCCTTGTTTAGCTTCTTTAGGTCCATAGATTTTAGTATGGCTATCCTATATTATACGGCTAATATCCACCTATAAGCGAGTGTATACCATGCATGTCTGTTTCTGGGTTACCTCATTCAGGATGATCTTTTTTAGTTGCCTGTAAATTTCATGATTTCCTTGTTTTTAATAGCTGAGTAGTATTCATTGTATAAATGTTCCACAATTTCTGTACCCATTCCTCCGTTGAGGAACATCTAGGTTGTTTCCAGATTCTGGGTATTACAAATAAAGCTGTTATGAACATAGTTGAGCAAATGTCATAGTTGTTGAATGGTGGGGCATCTTTTGGGTATATGCCCAGGAGTGGTATAACTGGATCTTGAGGTGGTACTATTCCCAATTTTCTGAGAAACTGCCAGATCGATTTCCAAAATGGTTGTACAAGTTTGTACTTCCACCAGCAATGGAGGAGGGTTCCCCTTTCTCCACATTCTCTCCAGCATGTGTTGTCACTTGAGTTTTTGATCTTAGCCATTCTGATAGGTATAAGATGGAATCTCAGAGTCGTTTTGATTTGCATTTTGCTGATGACTAAGGATATTGAGCATTTCTTTAAGTGGTTCTCTGCCATTTGATATTCCTCAGTTGAGAATTCTCTGCTTAGCTCTGTACCCCATTTTTAAATTGGATTATTTGGTTTGTTGGTGTCTAATTTCTTGAGTTCTTTGTATTTTCTGCATATTAGCCTTCTATCAGATATAGAGTTGGTGAAGATCTTTTCGCAGTCTGTAGGCTGTCATTTTGTTCTGTTGACACTGTCCTTTGCTTTACAGAAGCTTTTCAGTTTCAAGGGGTCTCATTTATTAATTGTTGATCTTAGAGCCTGAGCTGTTAGTGTTCTGTTCAGGAAGTTGTTTCCTGTACCAATGAGATCTAGGCTCTTCTCCACTCTTTCTTTCAACAGATTGAGTGTGTCTGGTTTTATGTTCAGGTCTTTGATTCACTTGGACTTTTAATTTTGTGCAGGGTGATAGGTATGGGCCTATTTGCATTTTTTTTTTTTTTTTTACATGTGGACATCCAGTTAGACCAGCACCATTTGTTGAATATGCTTTTTTTTTTTTTTTTCCATTGTATGGTTTTGCCATCTTTGTCAAAAATCAGATGTCCGTAGGTGTGTGGGTTTATTTCTGGGTGTTCAGTTTGATTCCATTGATCCAGCAGTCTGTTTTTATGCCAGTACCATGCAGTTTTTATTATTGTTGCTCTATAGTACAGTTTAAGATAAGGGATGGAGATACCTCCAGACGATCTGTTATCGTAGAGGATTGTTTTAGCTATTCTGGGCTTTTTGTTATTCCATATGAAGTTGAGAATTTTTCTTTTCAGGTCTGTAAAGAATTATGTTGGTGTTTTGATGGGAATTGCATTAAATCTGTAGATTGCTTTTGGTTGGATGGCTATTTTTACTATGTTAATCCTACCAATCCATGAGCATGTGAGATCTTTCTATCTTCTGATATCTTCTTCAATTTCTTTCTTCAGAGACTTGAAGTTTTTTTCAAGTCTTTCACTTACTTGGTTAGAGTTACACCAAGGTACTTTTTGTGTGTGGCTATTGTGAAGGGTGTTGTTTCCTTAATTTCTTTCTTAGCCCATTTGTCTTTGGTATACAGGAGAGCTACTGATTTTTTTTTTTTTTTTGAGTTAATTTTGTATCCAGCCACTTTGCTGAAGGTGTTTATCAGCTGTAGGGATTCCTTGGTTGAATTTTTGGGGTCACTCAGGTATACTATCATATCATCTGCAAATAGTGATACTTTGACTTCTTCCTTTCCAATTTGAATCTCCTTGATCTCCTTTACTTGTCTTATTGCTCTAGCAAGGACTTCAAGTACTATGTTGAAGAGATACGGAGAGGGTGGCAGCCTTGTCTTGTTCCTGATTTTAGGAAAGGAGATTATAACAAAATCATTTCATTGTGGATAAGAGACTTATCAGAGTGAGCACAGCAACCACTCAGCTGACACCGTGACAGGTTTTGTGGGAACTTCAGATCTAACTTTTTTTTTTTCCAGTGACTTCTACCAGTTTTCAAAGCTATTGTCATTGAGATAGTGTTACTGTATGGACTGGAAAGGAAATAGGTGGATAAGGGTAGGTAGGGTAAGGGAAAAGGTCATAAGGGTCTCTGTTCTTAGAAGATACACCTGTTTTTCTTAAGCATTCCTCTGATTGCCCTTGACCTTTAGTTAATTTCCACCTTTCTAAGAAAGTTGATTTTGACATTGGAAAGCCTTACTGTCACTCTGGTGTGACAGTAAGAGCCTCCTGGATAGCCTATGTTTAATGAGGATTGTGTCCTTCATATGTGCCTACCACAGCTGATGGTTAAAATCATGGCGATGAAGGTACCATGCTGATCACAGATTCAAACAGTTTCTCTGTGAAAATGTGGTTTCTTGTTGCACAGTTTTCAGCTCCATGGGACCTTAGCCTCTGTACTTAGGGCATGTCTCAGGATACTACTACTTTGCAGATGGTTGAAATCAGTCTTTACCTTGTGGTTGTTTCATAGTCACGTCAAACGAAGACTGGTTATTTAGTGCTACTAATCTGAGGCCACAGTGCACTTATGCACAGAATTTTCTCAAGAAGGAAGTGAAGTAACCTCTCAGAGCTATGGGGCATTGGTAGAATCTTTTGCTTTAACTGAACAGACTGCTCTAATGCACACTGTACTTAACCTCTGTGAGCTGTGCAGGTAATTCTGACTGTTGAGCAGATTGCAGCAGGTTGTCAGGTCTGTGGTAACTTTGTAGCATTCCTGTTTTGGTCTCAGATCTTTTAGATGATAGGCCTCATAGAGGATATGGCCCTTTATCGGCATAGGCTTACCTAAAGACAGAGTCCATTAGGATGCTTCCCGGCCACACACCGGGATTGAGAGCTTTGAATGTTTCCCAGGTTTTGAGAACACACAAAGGCTTTCAGAAGTGCATGGCTTTGTTGTTTGTCATAAAAATGCTGACACTTTATGCTTTCGAAAGTCAGTACAAAACAATCCTTCTATCTGATCCCTATAGTGCTTCAAAAATTATAGGATTATCTACTGTGACTTAAGACTTAAAGTTTTAATTTAAATTTAACTGACCATTTGAAACATGGTTTCTTTTTCTCTTTTTGATCTTGATTTTTGTTCTTCACTCTGCACTGATGGATGGTATAGATCCAGTGCCTTGAAGAGGTTGTTAATTTAGGGATACTATCCTTATACAGTTTAGTAAAAAGTAGTGAGTGATTTATCTGTTAGGGGACATATTTGCTATAACCATTCATTCATTAATTGAAGCTACCCTCTAATAAATTGAGACAGTTCAGTTAAATACTAGATATTCTGTGTCATTAAGTGGGTTCTATTTAGCCTTTCATTGGGAAGATTAATTTTTGACACTCTTATTTCAAGAATGTTTATCATTGTCAGCTGCATATAAACAGTCTTGCCTTAGTGAATATAAACACTTTTTATATAATCCAGCTTAATTTATGAGAAGAAAGATTTTTACACTACACACATGGTCTAACTGAGCTGTGTAGACTACAGTGCAGCCTTTTCCATTTTGAAACACTGCATCAGGTACTACCTTGGCTCCTCTCTGTCCTGACTGGAAGCTGGAGTGACTTTGGTGTGTACCATGATGTGGTTCAGGGTTCAACACCAACATAGAACAGTTTTGTGTGTGCCATGTGTGGATGTGGAAATGGCAGTGCGGTTCTTCCTCTTGTATTCCAACAGTGTGTTCATTGTGAGACTAATATAGTCACTTTTATATTTTCCCTGTTTGAATATACTGGTACAAATACTAATTCCATTTCCCACCTTAAGGATTTGAGGTAAATATTGCCTTGATCAAACTCCTAAATTGAATCATTTATGAGATAAATTTAAAATCAAATTTCATGGTACTGAATTGAGAAGAGTACCTAACTGATTATTTAATGCTTATCTCAGTAATAAGGTAGTGGTGCGTGCATATCTCTCATGTTTTCTATTCCATTGACCTTTGTTATTGTTGTTTTGCTCATAGCTCCATTTTTTTAGAGATAAAGCCAAAGATCAAAAGAAGTTAGCTTGGGCGTTGGGAAATGTGATAAAGGGACGCATTTCAGACTTGAGATTAATTTTGGATGTACCTAAATTTTAGAATAACAGGAAAAATAGAATTCAGCCTGGTTTACTCTGTGTTTGCATTGTTTGTTTTTTTCTGCAGACACAGACAGCAATTCTGAAGATTCTGGGAATCCATCATCAGCCAGGTTTACAGGTTATGGCTCTGTCAACCAGACTGTCACTGTCAAGCCACCTGTTCAGATCGTCTCACTGGGAAATGAGAACGGAAACCTTTTGGAAGCTCCGTTGACCTCACACAAGTACCCACATATTCCCTTTATGCCAGCTCTACACTGTGTCATGCACAATGGTGCCCAGAAGTCGGAAATGGTCATTCCTTCACCCAAATCTGCAGATGGCAAAGCAGTGGGGATGCTTGTCCCTAACCCCGTGGCTCTCTCCACAGTGATGGAGTCCACAAACTCAACCCCTGTTGGAATCCTAGGTCCAGCTGCTTCCGGAGAGTCGGAGAAACACCTGGAATTGTTGGCGTCCCCTCTACCCATTCCATCAACCTTCCTTCCACACGGTAGTACTCCTGCTTTGCAGCTAACATTGCAGAGGCTAAAATTGCCACCACCACAGGGATCTTCTGAGAGTTGCACAGTTAATATTCCACAACAACCAACCGGAAGTTTGAGCATCGGATCACCAAACACTGCCTTTATTCCTGTCCATAACCCAGGTAGTTTCCCAGGATCTCCTGTGGCTACCACAGACCCCATCACAAAATCTGCACCCCAAGTGGTAGGACTCAATCAAATGGTGCCTCAGATTGAGGGAAGCACAGGGACCGTCCCTCAGCCGACTAATGTGAAGGTAGTTCTTCCAGCAGCTGGCCTCTCAGCTGCACAGCCACCAGCTTCCTACACCTTTCCAGGCTCACCCCTCGCTGCCAGTGTGCTCCCCACCCAGAATTCCAGTGTGCTCAACACAGCCACTTCTGCCCAGCCAGCCAGTACAGGCATCAGTCAAGCCCAGTCCACAGTTCCTCCTGCTGTTCCTACCCACACCCCAGGTCCTGCCCCAAGCCCCAGCCCTGCCTTGACACATAGTACTGCACAGAGTGACAGCACATCTTACATCAGTGCTGTGGGGAACACGAACGCTAATGGGACCATAGTGCCACCACAGCAGATGGGCCCCTGTGGTTCTTGTGGGCGAAGGTGCAGCTGTGGGACCAATGGAAACCTTCAGCTAAATAGTTACTATTATCCCAATCCAATGCCTGGACCAATGTACCGAGTCCCATCATTCTTCACTCTGCCATCCATTTGCAATGGCAGCTACCTCAACCAAGCACATCAGAGCAATGGAAACCAACTTCCTTTTTTTCTGCCTCAGACTCCATATGCAAATGGACTGGTACATGACCCAGTTATGGGGAGCCAAGCCAACTATGGCATGCAGCAGATGGCAGGATTTGGGAGATTGTATCCTGTATATCCAGCACCTAATGTAGTTGCCAACACCAGTGGTTCTGGGCCCAAGAAGAATGGGAATGTCTCATGTTACAATTGTGGTGTAAGCGGGCACTATGCACAAGACTGTAAGCAGTCGTCCATGGAGGCCAATCAACAAGGTAATCCCACTAACCCCCAGAGGACTTGTTTTTGAGTTCCCGCTTCTTCTCGATTATGTGATTCTGTCTTAGCGGAAAGATCGTTTGTGTGTTTGTTTACAGAGGTTGTCTTTTCAGTGACAAATCAAAATGCAGCCAGAGAAACCCAGGTGTAGACCCAGGTCATGGAGCACGAGGAAGGCCCAAAATGAGCCAGAGAGACCCAGTGTAGACCCAGGTCACGGAGCATGAGGAGGTCTGAGGATGTCTAGTTTGTCGCTAAGGAGTGACATCAGAGGTCCTTCTCAAGGCTCAAGAGAGAGCATGGAAATCTATATTCTGTAATGTTAAGACCCTTGCTTGCAGCGCTGTATTTCAAGAGTTACAATTCTCTTTCAGAGTATGAAAACTTTCAAAGCTTTTAAATACTGAGAACTAGGATACAAGCTAATTATCTGGCATACAGGGTTTTTAGTCTGGTTAGAGCCTCAGTGCAACTGGCTGGCTCACATATGTGCTCATGTTGCACTTTGACTCAGTACACATAAGAAACATTCAAGAGTCCACTGAAATTTTATAGGAACAGAGTTATTTGAATACCAGTTTAGGAATTAAGAAACAAGAATGACTTTGAATAGTGCTAACACCAGAAAGAAGAAAATGCACTTTAATAGATGTGGGTAAGGGACCAGAGTCAGTTCTGGTCACCCTTCTCTCTCTCTTGCATCTGGCCTTTGTCATTGTGCCAGATCTTACCTAGAGAAGGTCTTCAATCAGGAATATGTTAATTAGGCATCCTCAAAGCAAAATCTAGCTAAGTAGCTTTAGGTTATACTTAAAGCACATGCTTACCATTGCGTTTGAGAGAGTAACTTTCTTGCTGTTTTGGACAGGAGTTAGTGCTGAGGAAGGGCCTTTGAAAGCATGCCCGTTTGCAGTCTTGTGTAGTGGTTTATGATGCGTTTAGTCATAAGCGGTGACTTAGCCGTTCTGTCTTTCCTGTTTTAGGCACTTACAGACTGAGATACGCACCTCCCCTACCCCCTTCTAATGATACGTTGGATTCTGCAGACTGAACGAGTAAAGCTTGCCTTCTTAATGCACTCAAGTGTGGGGAGTCATGGGGTGTGGAGGGGAGGAAAGGAAAGGTATTTTGTTTCTTTGTCTGTACATTTCCTAAATTTGTATGCAGTTGGGCGTTTTCATTTCTTTTTTACCTATGTCCAAGATAAGAAAGAATGCGATGCTCTTGAGCCGCTGGTCTCCTGGTTCAACAGCAGGCTTATGTGTATGATACGTGTAACTTACCTTCAGACAAACTCTTGGACAGAGAACCTTGATGTGTGCTTTCTACACTGAATACTTGCTGTGTGCAATGTTTACTGAATCTTTAAACTGTGTATTGACCAATTTGTTTTCACAACACTGGTAACAGTAATATGGTTTTGAAAAAAAGCAGCTTTGCTTCTTCCTGGCTTTTCTCACTTTGACCCTAAACTACACGTTTCTTGCCAGCTACCCTCTTCCCCTGGCCTACAGCAGGAGTGCTCAGCAGTCCTTGTCTAATGTAACCTGCTCTGTGTAGGAACCAAGGGCAACATGTTTCACCGTGCATTTTAGAAGTCAGATTCCCAAGAAGTATGTGTATATGTCATGAAAGCATCACATAAATACATATATGCAGCACTTACGCAAGTAACATGAAAACAAGTGGTGGAAGTCCTACTTCAGGAAGCCGAAAATGTGAAATGGACAAACAGGTCTTCCGTGAGAGCAAACAGCTTTTCCTTCCACCACGCTTTGTAGCTTGTTGCTTCAGAGAGACACAGAGTGAACACACTGGTGTGGATGCTTGTGTCTGTGAGGACAGTCAGCAGCCAGTCTTGCTTGTTGTCTTACCACATGATCTGACCAGACACCAGCTGTGACAGTGTTACATTGTGTTGACAGTGTGTGCTTTGTTGTATCTGAACAGAATCTGTGGGTTTCTATAGAAGTCAGGGATCTGCTCCCTAAGCTGTGTCTCTTAAGCAGTGTCACTTTTATAACTGTTTACCACTATGCTTGATTTACAATGTGAAAGACTGAATTCTGCGTGTGTCGAGATGGTATTAATCATGTCAGTGTCATGTCACTAAGTTTAATGCTGCTGGGTATTTTTTTTTTAAGCCAATCTATGTACTAAATTGCTTCCAGGTAATTTTTTGATTTCCTGAAGTGCACTGAGGTTATCTGGGAGGTTGGATGATCTTCAGTGACTGCTGCATTCAACAGCAATGAACAAGTACCACTGTATATTGTAAGCCTACGGGGTAGGAGGGCTTTTCCATTCCTTGGTACAGAGTAGAAATGGTTGACTTTTGTTGTGGGGAATATAGTTGGTGTGTGGCAGAGGCACTGAAACGTTAGGTCTGGGTTCTGAAACTTGACATTGTGAGAAAAAAAAAAAAGAAAAGAAAAAAAGGAAAAAAAGAAACTTGAAGAAAAAGAAGCTAGTTCAACACTTCAGAAGTAGCATTTATATTTATAGCACCAATGTACATTCTGAAACTTTCAGGGGTAGGAGCTATGGGAGAGAAGGGGGAGTGTGATAGGGTAGACGAAAGCTTTAATTTAGAAAGAAAAAGTTCAAGTAAAGGAAATTATTTTGATTAAATATATTTTATTTGACCTGGGTATTTTTGGACCACATTATTAACTTGTTAAGCTGCAGTTGAGTTGTTGAGGGGAGAGTATTGATAAGCCTTGTACAGGTGCGCTGTGACTCACTCACCAGGTGTACTTTATGGAGCTTATTTTATGATTTCAAATACTGTACTGTACATAGGAGGTATGTTACCTTCTCCTTATTTGTATGTTTACCATATACTTTGATATTTGAAATGTTATGTACTGGAAAGGCCACTTATATTTCTAGAACAGATTGGATTTTATGCAACCTTTTTCCTTGAATTAACAGCAATAAAAAAAAAAGAAAAAAGAAAAACAGCCCAAGAATTGTGCCTTATTTCAAGTTTTATAACCGTGAAAGCGGGTTTCATGGTGATTTTTCTTTTAAAGAATCAGTTCATTTCCCTCTTCATCTGGGCAGTGTCTCCCAACGTGATTTACTGCCTGGATGTTCTAAAGTCTTTTCTCTGGTTTACCTGTGCAGCTTCTAATGGAAGGGAAGGCAGTGGCGTCTTAAACAGATCAGTCCTGTCCTTAGAAACTAGACATCTCCTTACCAACAGCACGAAGGACCCAGTGTATCCATTTTGTTGTTTTCTATTGACTGTGAGAAGCACGTAACTATTGTGGTTCAGTATTAAGTTTTTGCATTTGTTCTTTTTTCTGTAATCCAGTCTCAAGTCTAAGTCTTTAGGCTGTCAGGCATTTTTAAACATTGGAGGTCAGTGTGCCTGTTGTGCTGTTGAAGTCTTTCCGAAGTGCCTCTCTCTACTCTTGGCACTCACATAGGCAGGACACTGTGAAGGGCAAACCCAAGGCTGTTAGACTATTCCCTGACCACTATCCATGTGTGTTTGGTTGTTCTGTGGACACTGTTTCTGTTGCTGTGATAAAACACCATGACCAGGGCAACTGATAGAAGAAAAGTTTGTTTGGATTTACGGTTCCAGAGGATTAGAATCCACAATGGTAGCGCATAGGCGTGGAGGCTGGAATAGCATGCTGATTGATGGCTTGTGTCTTAAACTGCAAGCACAAAGCAGAGAGCAAACTGGGAGACCTTAGTGACACACTTTTCCATCAAGGCCACACTTTGTAAGCCTCCCCAAATTGTCACCAGTCACCAATAGGGGACTAAGTATTTGATGCTTGAGACTAAGGGTGAGGGGAAGCATTTATCATCCAGACCACCACAGACACCAGCTTGCCCATTGGCTCGTCAATAATGCACATCGAGGAAGTGGTGAGCTTACCTCTGCATTGGCCCAGTGTCCGCCTCCCCCCGCCCGTCAGCATGTGTGCTTTCACCCAGCCCACCAGTTTACCCCACCAGGTACAAGTTTTTGTTTGCTCGCCTGTTTAGCTGCAGTAAAAGCATCAGCTTTGAGCTTCTTTTGAACTGAGTGAGGGGGGAGCCCACACAGTCCCCTGGGGCTGTGTCTGCTCATGTGGCCTGTGCCCCTGATGCTGCGTTCCTGACACTCATTCTTACGTCTTGAAATATTTTTCATAAGGATGAGTATAGCTAAATGGATCCATTGTTCTGTCAGTGACACCTGGGGTAGGTAGCTTCTTCTTTTCTTTTCAACTTAGGATCAGGGATGTCAGAAACATTCTCTGCTGCCCTGGTTTGAGTGTGAGTTTATTTAGGACATGTCACCAGGCTTGCTTTATCCTCGTAAGTGCGGATAATACGGCTTTCCGGGATTCACCCCACCTTTTTCCTAGTGATAGACACATTCCCACAGCGTAGTAGGGGCCCCTGAAACGCTCTCCTGACATTCTCCCAAGATGCTGCTGCAGAAGAAGAGGCTGCGGTTCCAGGGGGAGTTGTAGGCCTGTGAGAGAGGTGAGTTGATGAAGGTTCATGATCACTGCGTGAAGAACGGGAAGCTTGTGGCAAGAAACTGGACAGATAGGGCAGTGGTGTATGGTCAGGAAGGAAGGGAGACCAAGGTGAGTGGTAAAGGGTGTGCAAGCAGGAGAATGGGGGTGGATTAGAAAGCTGGAAGTTGTCAGGCTTCCAGCAGGAAAGACTTTGGTGTCAGAAAAGTGTTACGTGGTTGAGGAGGTAGAGCCAGGACATTGAGAACCTGCGGAGGGCCTGGACTAAGTGGTGGGCTGTGACTAAGGCCGTCGGTCTAGAGTGAAAACCACCTTACTCAAGCCAGCTTAACAGAAGAGTCAAGAAGAGAGGGGCGGCGCGAAACGATGTTTGGAAAGATTAAATGAAGAAAGATAAGGCCCTGCGTGACAACACTGAGGGGGACTACTCAGGTGGTAACAGAAGGCTAGGAATGAAGGGGACCTAGAAAGCTGTTGAAGGAGTGGTTAAGTCTGCCTCGTGTGCTAACGAAGTGTGCCTACGCTTGAAGAGCTTGTCTTTTTGGAAACCCCCAGTTAATGGCAGATACGGGCAGTTTGTGCACAGCCAAGGTGGACATCTCAGTTACTCCATCAGGACTCCATGAAACAAGTCCAGTTAGGTGAATTCAGCGTTTAGTTTTCTTAGGTAAGTACTAAAAATATGGTGTGCGTTTGTTTCTGAAGAGGTTCCCGATTTAAAAGGTTTCAAGTTTTAATAGTGTCTGTCAAGAGCCACATCCACTCATGCTTAGGAGATGTCTTTATTCAGTTCTGTATTTTGATGAAAGCATTCAAAGGTTAGGGCAACGAAGCCACAGAGAGGCAGTCTGTGACAATAATCCACCCCCCTAACCTATTTGTAATTTGTTCTCGAGATAACACAAATGAATGTGCATGCACAACACACACCCATTCATTTTCAGAACAGAGTGAGTTTTGAGACACTGGAGGGATAAAATTGACCTCTTGGCCTTGAAGAGTGGCCCTGCAGATCTGCTCTTCCCTTTCTTCAGGGGTCAAGGACACCTACAGTGAGGAGGGCTTTGGGGTCCCAAAGAGCTGAAGAGCTGCACCCTTGACTTTAAATATGAGATGGAGCAGAGAGAACAGGCCATCCTTTCTGGACTACCCCTGTTATTGGTTGACATAGACTGGTTGACATAGCTTAGACTCCTGTAACACCATTTCTCTTTGTTATTATTGTGTATAAACCACAGCTACTATGCCCATTCATATAACATAATTTCTTTGTCAACTCTGAGAGAGAAGTGTATAATTTTGAAATGCCACCCTGTTGAAAATCACGGGCTTTACAGGGTGGGGGCGCCTGGAAGCATCAGGCTCTTCTGTGAAGTGCTGTGTACTGGCCTGTCTCCAAAGTTCCTTCCCTCAAAGTCACAAGAGCAGCTACTGGCCTTTGCCACCTGAAGTTCTTTAAAGCCTGTTTCAGTGTTTGCAGTGTGCTTTGGGCGGTGAAGTGGGGTCGGGTGTGGGGTGATGGGAGGGTGGGTGAGGTGCTTTGTTAACTGTTTCTTTTTCCTCCTGGAGCTCCGATTGTGAGCCACTGTGAAACGGGGTCCAGGGCACCTCTCGCCAGGAGGGGGGAAAGTCTCCCTGGAAAGCAATGCTGCTGCCTGATGGAGGACAAAAACAGTGCAAGCAAACATGTAATTTCTTCCTGACCCAATTTAGAGAAAATTGAACGTAATAGAGAACATTTGTTTTCGTTAGCCTATGCCCAGAGCCTAAGTGAATGCAGGCATGTGGCCATGAGGTGATGCGAGCCGGCGCCTCTTTCAGTCCTGTGTTTGAGTCAGGGCGTAGCTGGCAATGCCGCTTCCCTCTCCTGCGTTCACCCGGTGCCGACTTGGAAAGAGTGGGATCTTCCTGTGTGAGGCTTGGAAACTTGAGGTTCAGGGACAGGAAGTTCTGCAAACATCGGTGACGAAGACCAGGCCCCTCCTTGAGATCAGCGCCCACCTGCATGCACCATTGCCTGCCCCCACGGCAACACTGCACAAACAAGACTGGCACAAATCTGTAGGGAGCTCCCTGGAAGGGGGCTGGGCCGGGCAGTAGCAGACCTGCACGGGTCAGCCCCTAGTCAACCGTGTCCATCGGGTCTCCTGTGCTGAAGGAGCGGATGTCGTGCACCGTAAGCATTAAGTGAATATTCCAGTAAGACTTAAGAAATTATAAAAGTGAGGTCTGCTGTGCCTGCACACTTGCCGTCCTAGGACTCAGGAGGCAGTGGCAGAGGATCAGGTTCAAGACCTGTCAGGTCTGCTTCCCAGGGCCACATAGCAAGACCCTGCTTCAAAGAAGCAAAATACTGAAAAGTGAAGCAGCGGCACAAGCAGGATGAACAAACAGTGCATCTCCCGAAGCCTGAGAAATGGGGATGCAACCACCCCACCCCACCCCATCGCCACAGGCTTGCCAAATGGCAAGGGTGCCACCAGGTGGCTTACTCTCGTAACTACAGTTACGTAGCTCATTCTTGCTCGTTGAAGCTAGATCCTATTGTTTGGAACTTAACTGTGCCATGACTACAAAGTCTGCTTGTGCTAGAGGCAGTACAAGTCATGGTTTTGTTCTGGATGCCCACCTGCCCCACACGTGACCCTCAGGCTGATTGACAGGATGGTGGATGGGAGTGGCAGCACTCTGTAGACAGGTTGCAAGGAGTCAGTCTGACGCACCGTAGCCTCTCAGCCTGTGCTCACCTGAATGCTCAGTATAGATGAGGCTATCAGGCACACAACGCTTCCGGGCAGGAATGTGCTTCCACTTTGATAGAAATGGAGTCACCAAGGGCGAGAATCCACAAGCAAAGAGCAGTCAGGTGACCGCCCCGACAGTGAGGTACCAGGGATGCTGTCCCAGTCATCACCTGTGTCCGAGTTGTAGATGGATTACTGATGGTATGAGGCCATCTTACGCACCAGTGCTCATGCAGTCCTTTCTCCGTTAGACTGGGACCCAGGTCTCACACTCATGTGCACCGCCGCACTTGGCTTTTCTCCTCCTAATGCCAGGGAGGGAACACGGGGCCTCGTACTATTAGACCAGCACACTCCTGCTGAGCCACTCACTCATCTCCAATGACTGCTGAAAGCAAGCTGGGAACCCAGCCGTGCCATCTCCGGCGTCCTTTTGGCTTCAGTGTTGTGGCACTTGAAGCCGCCTTCTACTTTTAGTGAGTTGGTGTGGTTTGTAATTTTTATTCCCGTTTTTGTTTTTGGTTCAGTGACTTCTTCGCACTGCTTTGGGGTGATGCACTGTGAGGGTGGACAGATGCCGAGGAGGGTGGGGCTTTGAGGAGGGAAGCATGGCATTAGGAAGGACAGCCAGTAGATGGCAGGACAGACTGCAAACTGCGCTAGTCACAGTTTCTAGGTTTTGCTGTATTTGGAAGTGTCGTTTTCATAGGGAGGAG